ACAAGTGGCTTTGTTTGAGGAATTCCTGGAGACAAAATTTCACTTGGGGACATGACTCAACCCCGAGCTCATGTTAGGATTTATTAATTTCCTTAAAACTAACATCGATTGTTTCGCATGGTCGCACGCGGATATGACAAGTATCCCACTAGAGGTGGTCGTCCACAAGCTAAGCCTGGACCCAAGCGTCCCACCGGTAAGGCAGAAGAAGCGCTTGATAGCTGAGGTCAGAAACATATTTGTTAAAGAAGAGGTAACTCGACTACTTGATATTAGTTCAATCCGGGAAGTAAAGTATCCCGACTGGCTAGCTAATATAGTTGTAGTTTCAAAAAAGAATAACAAATTTCGAATGTGTGTAGATTATAAAGACTTGAATAAGGTGTGCCCAAAAGACTCGTTCCCATTGCCGAACATCGATAAAATGATAGATGCAACGACAAGACACGAGTTAATGAGTTTTATCGATGCCTATTCTCGATATAATCAAATTAAAATGAACCCGAAGAATCGGGAAAAACTTCGTTCATAACAAACTTTGGCACATATTGTTATAATGTGATGCCCTTGGGGCTTAAAAAAGCTAGAGCCACTTATCAGAGGCTCGTGAACAAGATGTTCGAGAAACAAATAGGTAAAATAATGGAAGTATACATAGATGATATGTTGGTCAAGTCCTTCAATGCAGGTGACCATTTAAAATACCTCTAAGGAAACCTTCGATATCTTGAGGAAGCACAACATGAAACTCAACCCCAAAAAATACGTGTTTGGGATTAGCTCCGGTAAGTTTTTGGGTTTCTTGGTTTCACAAAAGAGGGATTGAGGTAAATCCCGATAAGATCAAAGCCATCGAGGACATCCCAGACAAGCTGACAAGCAAGAAAGAAGTCCAAAGGCTAACCGAAAGATTAGCCTCTCTAAGCAGGTTCATCTCTCGATCTTCGGGAAAATGTCACACTTCTTCTCACTTCGGAAGAAGAAGAAAAATTTCAAATGGACTCTAGAATACCAACAGTCCTTAAAAGACCTAAAACGTTATCTATCAAGCCCTCTGCTACTATCCAAACCGGGGGAAGGCGAACATTTGCTTATATACTTAGCGATCTCAGAGGTAGCGATAAGTGTCGTTCTAGTCTAGGAGGACAAAGGTACGCAATCTCCTATCTATTATGTTAGCAAAATTTTGTCAGGACCGAAAACTCATTATCCGCACCTCAAAAAACTAGCCTTAACTCTCATAGTCACCTTCAAAATCTTAGGCCTTATTTTTAGTGTCACCTGATAGCCGTTGTGACAACCTTTTCCTTGCGGAATGTCCTTCACAAACCTGAGTTGTCGGGTCGGTTGGCCAAATGGGTAGTTGAAATTATTGAATTTGATATTGAATATAAGCCCAGGACTGCGATCAAATCACATGTTCTGGCCGACATTGTGGCTGATTTCAGTCTCGGGTTTCTATTTTTGGCTACAAAAGAAGCAGTGATGGTGTCGAAAACAACGTCAGAAGTTTGGATCTTGTTCACAGACGGAGCTTCCAATATGAAAGGGTCTGGGCTCGGGGTGGTCCTAATCACTCCTTCCGGGGAAACTTTGAGGCAGGCCATAAAAACTATTCCTTTAACTAACAATGAAGCCGAGTATGAGGCATTGATTGCAGGACTCGAACTAGCCCGGGGACTTAGCTTCGAGGTCATAGAGATCAAATGTGATTCACAACTGGTAGTAAACCAAGTATATGGGATCTTTGACACAAGGGAGGAATGCATGCAACAATATGTGATTAGAGTTCAAACCTTGCTCACACGGTTTAGGGAGTAGTCGATCACCCATATCCCGAGAGAAGAAAACGTAGAAGCAGATGCATTGGCCAATTTGGTGTCATCCATGGAAATAAAAGGATCAGATTTCGATACTTTCAATCAGCTTATGCATTCGGTACTAGGTGTGGACGGCTATTGTGAAGTAAATACAACCAACCTAGTATGGTACTGGAGGAATGAATTCATCGATTACCTTCAGCATGGCAAGCTGTCCGAAGACCCGAAGGCATCCCGGGAAATACGCACCAAAGCGGCTCTCTACAGCCTCTAGGGTGGACAGTTATATAGAAGGTTGTTCCAAGGCCCGTTGGCCCGATGTTTAGGAGCCTCGGAGGCAAACTACATCATGAGAGAGGTCCATGAAGGAATTCGCGGGAACCATTTCGGTGCAGATTCGTTGGTGCTAAAACTAGTTAGAGCAGGATACTAATAGCCACGGATGAAACAAGAAGCAAAGGCATTCGTTCAGAAATGCGACAAATGTCAGCGCCATGCACAGTTGGTGCACCAACTGGCAGAACTCTTGCATTCGGTACTATCCCCATTGCCATTCATGAAATGAGGGATGTATATAGTTGGGTCGCTGCCAACGGGTCCCAGGAAGGTAAGATTTCTTTTAAATTTAACCGATTACTTCACTAACTGGGTTGAAGTAGGTCCTTACCAAAATATCGGTGAGCGCGAAGTGGTCGACTTCCTATAGGAAAATATAATTTTTCGGTTCGAAATATCGAAGGAGATTGCCTGTGATAACTGGCCACAGTTCATAGGCTCCAAAGTCACAAACTTTCTTGAATACCTAAAGATTAATAGGATTACATCTTCACCATACCATCCGAGCGCTAATGGGTAGGAGGAATCAACCAATAAAGTGATTATTCAAAACCTCAAAAAGAGGTTGCAAGCAACCAAAGGTAAGTGCCCCGAAGAGTTACCGGGCGTGCTATGGGCGTACCAGATGACGGCAAAATCAAGCACGGGAGAGACACCTTTCTCTCTCGTATACGGTGCAGAAGCTCTGCTCCCGGTGGAAGTAGGAGAACCAACCTTACAGTACTTCCGAACGTATGAAGAAGCAAATAATGAGGCATTGCTGGTCAAGATGCAATTGCTTTATGAACAAAGGACATAGCATACATAAGAATGGTGGCTCAAAAACAAAGGATGGAAAGATACTATAACCGGAGAGCCAATCTCCGCTACTTTAAAGTAGGAGACTTGGTTTTGAGGAAAGTAACTCATAACACTCGAGAGATCAACGCTGGAAAGCTGGGTCCGACGTGGGAAGGTCCCTAACGGATTTCAGCTGTCACCGGGAAGGGATCATACGAATTGAAGAATCAAGATGGAGTCAAATTTCCAAGCAACTGGAACGTGACTCACCTAAAAAGGTATTACTGCCGATGGATCCTACTTATACTGAAAGTATGTGCTACACTTCTTTTCCCTTCGACCAATTTTTGTCTCAATCGAGTTTTTCTGGCAAGGTTTTTAACGAGGCATCAACGGAAAGCATACTACGAAGGGAGCATCATCAGCAATGATAAGACCTTTAAATGTCAAGCACTAAAACAACAAGCCACTATGGGATGGTTAGATAGTATTTGGCTCGATGGCGAAGTTCCTAACGGGAAACGAAGCTTGTCATCGGACCAAAGATTATCCAACCGTTCACAAATATTTTTCTTCAAATGAGCAAGACTTCTATTATTCCAATTCGCATACTTTGCATTCGAACACTGGGGGGAATAGTATAAGAATATGACAACATGATTGCCAAAAAAATTGGGATTGCGAGACTCAGGAACAATAATGTCTCATAGGACCGGGGACTACACGGCTAGCCCCGTATAAACAAGTTGTACTAATTAGCCACATGTATTGGCAATTTCTTTTTTTCTTAGCAATCAAATGCTTATGTACTTTTAAAGATAGAAGGAATAAAATAAAGTCATTTTGTTTTTATCTTATTTCTTGTCCAAACGATGAATTGATTTTATCATTTGAAAGTTTACTAAAAACTTCAAATGCTAGTGACAGAATGAACAAGAGACATCCTCTCCAAGAGCACCGTAAACATAAGAGGGCCCTCTCTTATGAAACCCTCATAGTAAAGGGTTAGTTCCGGAAGAATTTATGCCCGGAACCCAAAAGCTATCGGAAGAAAACACATTTGAAGCCTTACCTAATTCGACGCAAAAAGAATGAACTTTGTGCAATGCTTAAACAAAAAGTCCTTTTTATTTATCAAACATGCCAAACAGCATAAGTGCAAAAATACAAAGGGAAAACAACAAAAGAAAAAAGGAAAAAGCTAAACTTCATCGCCACCGAAACTCGAGGAAGAGAGTCATCTACGCCCTTGGGAGAAGTAGGTGGATCTGTTGCCGGTGCAGGATCTTGGCCCTTATCAGCATCCTCTTCAAGTTCCTCCTCAGTCCCCGAATACTCGGTGCCAGTACTAGAAGGTCCAGTTATGTTGGACCAAGCCGGGAGACGTTCTCGAGCAGTTAACTCCAGTGCTCAGGCCTTGGTAATATCATCATCAATATCAATAACGCCTGTTGTGGCCTCCTCCAAGGTTTTCCTCCTCATATGGTACATAGAGTATGTCTTTTCAAAGATTGGGGAATCCCCTTGGTGCTGGAGCATTGCCTTGAGCCTGTCAACCTCAACAAAAAGGCCATCCCGCTCGGTTCTCATGGAACCAAGGCTAAGATCGAGATCACGGATTGTAGATATGTGAGCCCTATTTTGATCCATGATCTTCTTATACCAGCTTACATCCGAGCCTGCTTCTCCTCGGCAGCAGCAACCTCTTCAGTTGTGGAGTTCAAGGCTGCCTCCAAGTTATTTGCTCGTTCAATGGAGGCACACTCGTGCTCGGTAGCAGCAAGAGCAGCATCTTGAGACTCAGCCCACCTAGACTTAGCATCTTAAAGTTGAGCATGTAGCTGAGTGGCTTCTTGACTACGAGTCATCGCCTCATGCTCACTTTGCTGCAACCGAGCCTTAAGCTCGACAGTTTTAGCAGACTTTGCCTCTAGCACAGGGAGGCGTGCAGCGAGTTGATTCCTCTCGGCCAATAGTTGATCCCGCTCGGACATGAGTCCTTCTTTATCAAGTATCAATATCTGAAGGTCTTCGGAAGTGAGGAAGTTGCCTGTAAACCTGTATCAAAGTCAGAAACCCTGTTATAACAGACGAATAAAAACAAACAGTGAGAGAACAAGTATGGTACCGCTGCCGCATTATGCATAGCATTATTCAACATACACTCTCCTGAAAGAGAGTATTTTCTTCTTATCTTTTTTTGAAGCCAGCGGCTTTAGATAGTTGGCAAGCTCTACCAGCCTGGATAGCAGATGGCACTTCTTTGAAACCGAGGGAGTGACGCTCCTCCTCCCTCGGGGATCTGGAGAAGGGGGTGAGTAGTTGTGCCCTAAATTCCCATGGTCAGGGGACTTGGGAGGGGATACATCTTCTTCTCGGGCACCTGCGGCCGGTGCAGGAGATGCAACAGTTTCTGGTGATGAAGGCACAGCTAGTGTGGAGGGAGATGAAGCTGATGGTGTTATGGGTTGAGAAGTAGTTGCGACAGAGGCAGTGCTGATTATTGGTTGCTCATCAACCAAAGGCAGAAGAGGCTAGGTATTCGACCTCATAGGACTGGAAGCAACAACTGGGACCGGAAAGGGAGAATCGACATTCTTTACTAAATCTATTTCTCCCTAGAGCGCTTGGACCTCGCCCTCGATTGGGGTTCTGAGCTCTCCAGATTGAGCATTATGTTGAGCTGATGAAGATCGTTGTCTCCATTGAAGGGGATCCTCTTCATCATTAGCTTCCCCGTCATCATCAATGACCATAGTGGTTGTGACCGGCTCGGGCGTGGCCTTCTTTATTTTCTTATTTCTATTCCAAGCCGATGAAGAACTCTGCCTTTTTGGTTGGTTGTTCTCTGGCTGGGGACTCTGAGAGGAAGCACCTGCACCGGAGGCAGATCTGAGGGCACCACTCCGAATAAGAGCCTCTTGCAACAACCTCGCAGCCTCTGCAGGATCAGTCAAAACCTCGACATCGGGGCAGGTAACAAAACCTTGCGGGAGTCCTGAATCAAACAAAAAGGTACAGTTAGCAAAGTATGTTTATGTATATGCAGAGGCGGAAAGTAGAAAGAATCTGTTTACCATGGTTCTTGGCCTTCCACCCGTATTTGGGGGCCAACTCCTTCCACCGACGGGTATCTGGCATAGTAATATCCAAAATCTTCTGAACCCATTGGTCCAGGCCTTCAACCCCTGGTGGTGTCCAATGAGTAGCTAAAATAACGGAAGTAAAAGGGTTAGCAATGACATGGAACAAGCTTTTACGAAGAAAGAGATAGATTATAAACTTACGTGAACGACTCTAAGATTCGGGAAAAGAGGGAGTTATGTCCGGGATGATATCCCTGGTAGCAATGATGACAAATCGCTCCATCCACCCACAATCATTGTCATCATCCACGCTGGTAAGCAAAGCATGGTGTCCACGCTTGCTAAAATTTATCACTCCCCCATGGAAGATTTTGGAGGAGTAGAGGTTCATCATATGTGCCAGGGAAAAGGTCTTCCATGCCTCCAAGCATAGCCGGCACAGACTAGCCACCATTCGCCATACAGAAGGATCTATTTATGCCAAGCAAACCTGACACCGATGGCAGAATTCCAAGATCACGAGGTCAAGTTCCCCGCTCAATGAAAATGAGACCAAAGTGAAGGGGTACATATAAACATACGTAAAACCATTCTTGGCGAAAGTAACCTGCTCTACCAAGCCAGGAGCGATGATATTTAGTTCATGGCAGTCACAATCCTCCTTCACAGTAGGAATACTGGAAGGGCGGATAGAAGAATAATACCTACTAATAGCCCAAGTTTGAGGGTTTGTAGAGGGAAACTTCTCTTGGAAGTCGTTGGCGGTACTCATGTGTTTAGGTATGATAGTGCTTATCGTGGGGGGATCAGCATCAGCATCAACCTCTTTATCTTTGCCTATCTTCGAGCCTCCACCGAAGAGAAGACCGGAGTTCTTGAAAGATTTAGTAAAAGAAGCCATAATGGTAAGAAGATGATAGAGTCCTTAGAAGAAGATTAGAGAGAGAGATGAAAGTAGAAGGAAGTCAAGTGCAAACAGGATAAAAGATCTTATGAAGTTGTTAGAAGTGAATGAGGCAAAATGGTACGTATAAGTAAAGATATACGCAGCTAAAATCGTGGTAATGATTACCTCGAGATTCGGCAAAAATATTATTGAATCGTGGGGCAACAGGTGTTCGGGGTATTAAATGCGAGGAGACGTGCATCTTATCAAATGTAAGAGATTGTTCAGAGGGGATCAAAAAAAATTTCGCCAAGAAAGGAATCTTTACCAACTTCCCGATGACACAAAGATGTGCCACCAAAAAGCAGGGAGACTATCTGTATAGGGTAAAATTGGTTTATATTAAATAATCGAATAATTGCGTGACACGTGAAAACGGAGACAAACGGAAGATGTGTCGAGTAATAACCGAGACCGGGGGCAACAACTGCAGTTAGTGTCAGATAGATCCCGAACGGAGCATAATCAACGGGGGCAAAACGAATGTTTGTCACTAGATGGCATTTAATAAAGAATATTCATTAATATTAAATAGGCAACCATTGCAGATAATTTTGGCATTCATGGCCTGCCGTTATACCTTCATCAATGGCCTCCCTTTATTGTCATTCAAGAGGGGCTTGATCCTAGGATCTTGTTCCCTAGATAGAGCTATAAACAGTGGCTTCAATAACCATTGCCAGGGACGAAATCTCTGGCAAAACTTATGTTATACTTTATTCTCAAGCTAAATAATATAACTTTAGTTTTGTGTTTGACATTGCTCTTACTGCTGTCCTCGGAAGCATTGCTCCCGGAGCTAGGCTTGCTATTTGCTTTGATTCTAACGCTACGTCTTATTTTTAATTTTATTTATTTATTATTTTGGATAAAATCAGTCCGCTTGTCTATAAATCATGCAACAAATTCAACTGTACCGTTTTACGGGTAAATAATGTGTTCAAAAATCAGTAAAACAAAATAAGAACAAACTAAAAATAAAACAGCAAACAATAAGCATTATAAAATTGTTTATTTCTTATCAATCCTTAATAGTACTATGAAATGTTCTATTTCTAAAGTAAAGTTTTAAATTATTAATCACACCATTTATTATACTTTCAAAGTCTACTCCGATAATACAATGTTAAGTCATTGTATGTTATAGAATGACTAAATCCTTACTTCTAAAATTGATAGTGGTGGTGGTGTTGTTGTTGCTCCACATTTGATGCTTACAGAGACCTTCATCCGCTACTTTATCCGCTTCTTCAGTCGTAAATATTTTTATACCGGGCCTCGTACCTCACTTGAACAACACCAGATACGTATGCAAATTATCATTATTTTTATGAACAAAGAATGTATCTTTTCCCTTGTTGGAGAAAAACTAAGCATGTAAGTAATGGGCAGCTGCCTCAGCGAGCATGTTAATTGACCTCATTTAGTGATGATATCGATCAAGTCATTATATTCCTTCCGTTTCAATTTATGTGAATTTATTTTTTTTTAGTCTGTACCAAAAAAATGATATTTTTTCGTATTTAGAAACAATTTATCTTTATGTAATGATTTATAGCCACACAAAATATATGTGTCTTATTTTACACCACAAGTTCAAAAAACTTCTCTTTTTTCTGAAACTTCGTACTTAATCAAATTTATTCACATAAATTGAAACGGATGGGATATGTAGCATTGCTACGAAAAACAATGGATACTGTCAGCTTTATATCAGAATTTCAAGTCCAATTATTTTGCTTTCCATATTAATATATATATATATATATATATTCTTTTATTACTAATCAGATCTAAAAGATTTGATTATAAACCAATGGTTGGGGTAGGTCTGTTTAATAATGGTTTATTGTAAATCAATAGTCGAGCGACGAATAAATTATAAACTTGGGTTAAAAATTACAGAACTCAAACTACACAATAATGATGAAGAAGAAGAGATTTGACCACTGACCAATTGATCCGAGGACAATAAATATCCCTTAGAAGTACTTTCCAATCTATTGCACTGCCATATTAACCCCCAAAACGACAAATTCGAGCTCCCTTGCCAAATGGAGTTGACTGCTAAGGAGCTAAAAATATGGTTTTGAGAGGAAAGAAGGAAGAAGGAAAAAAGTGGAGTGGAGCTCTATGCGCAAAATGGAGAAAAAACACAAGCTAAAATGGATAACAATGGCAGATTTGGGTGCAGGAAGAGGAAGAGGAAGAAGAGGGTGGGAATGAGAGATAATGGATTTTGGAGAAAAAAATTGTATTTTTTTATCTATATATGGTGATTAATGTGTAATAATTGAAACTTTGAGGCTGGGTCAGAACTTCCCACTATGCACTTATTAATCGCAATCACCCACTAATGATAATTAATGAAGAAAGTCACATTTACATAACTTGAGGGTCTTTCTGCCAAATCAAGTTAATACGACATATTGCCCAACTCACCCAAGTCTCTATATAATTATATAATTATATAATATCTATGATACTAGATCCATTACTAGTAGAAAACTAAAAAGAATCTCTTGGTGACAGGTGCAATGACGTGGCATAATTATATCCGTTTCTGGGTGCTTGGCTGTTCTCTGTCTTATTATGGCAACTACGAATAAGAAATTACCAAATATAGTACTGAAACTAGCTGTGCTTAATAAAGAAAAATTAATAATAGTTGTGCTTAGCTTAATGGCAAATGCATGATTCAATGAATTTGGAACAACTCTTGCTCTTCACGAAACATCCTATTACTTGTTCCCCAAGACGTACTTTTTCCAAAGAAAAAGAGAAGCAAAACACGAAATTGACCAAAAAGCTACTTGCGTTGCGTTACTATTGCCATTAATTTCCAGAAATGCCCTTGGAGTTTTGTATTATTTGATTTGACCACCATTGACCATACTATACATTTATTAAGTTTTCATCAGCATTTACATTTTATTTGACACATTAATTTTAAGGTGCATGCAGTTTTAATCAAAATCATTCGCTTAAACTATGTAACTAAGTAAAACCAAACTACGGTTTATCACCTTTAATCACATGGATTTAATTTCAACGGATTCATCCTTCAAAGTGCTTAGCATTGAATTCATTCTACATTTAAAATTATTGGTTTGGAAGTTACTCAATTAAAGGTTTAGCTATTATCACATAGTACATATTAATATTATGTGTCAAAAATATTTAGTTTAGCTGAACATAAAGTTATACTCCATACATTCACTACTGAATTAGATAAGCGATTTTATTCACAAATAAAATTGCAGGCTCGCATCGATGTCTTGTGTGATAAAAATGTGCCACTAAAATTTAAAAGTAAGTTTTACAAAGTGGTGGTTAGACCAACTATGTTGTATTGAGCAGGGTGTTGGCCAGTCAAGAACCCTCATGCCCAGAAGATGAAAGTAGCTGAAATGAGGATCTTGAGATGGATGTGTGAGCATACCAAGTTAGATAAGATTAGGAATGAAGATATTCGAGAAATGGTGGGAGTTACCCCAATAAAGAATAAGATATGGGAGGCGATGCTAGGATGGTTGGGACCGGTGGCGGAGCCACATGCACTCAAGGGGTGTCAATCGACACCCCTTTGTCGGAAAATTATACTGTGTAGCTAGATAATTTTAAAAACAAATATGTATATATATTATGTATTGACACCCCTTGACTTCTTAGTGAGTTTATTTCTTTATATTTTGATCCACCTCCCCCACTTAATGAAAATCCTGGCTCTGCCACTGGTTGGGACATGTGAAGAGGAGAAACATAGATGTCCCAGTTAGGAGGCGTGAGAGATTGACCTTGGTGGATATGAGGAAAGGTAGATGTAGGCCGAAGAAGTATTGGGGAGAGGTGATTAGACAGGATACAACGCAACACTTAAGCTTACGGGGACATGACCCTTGATAGGAGGGTATAGAGGTCGAGAATTATGGCAGAAGGTTAATAAGTAGTCGAGCATTCTTTTCCCATACTGGTAGTATTAATGTTAGAATGGTATCTTTTTATTCTTAGATTGTTATTACTACCTACTGTTTGATTGTTATCTTTCGCTTTGATTTACTTAATATCATGTTGTTGTTACTCTTTGTTACCATAACTTATTTTCATCTTTTCTTTAGACGATTGTCTATCGAAAATAATAGTTCTGCCCTTCTAAAATAGGGGTAAGTCCGTGTATACAACACCCTTTCCAGATTTTACTTGTGAGAATTCATTAGATTTGTTGTTGCTGTAATTTTATATACAAATTCTATTTCATACATGAAGTAAATACCAATGCATGTCAATCAGATATTACACGTATAATAATGGTTGGTATAAGGAACTCATACTTTGAGCAAACATACACCGCAAAACTTTTTGTTGTTAATATTCAATCTATGACTTTGACTTTCTAGTCATATCCAATATACTTGATTTGACTCAAACAAAATCACTAACTTCAGATTTTCGAGTTGTGGCACGGTTCATTTTAGTCATTTCAGGCTTCTCCAGAATTTACGGAACCACAAGTCTCAAAAATATCTCAAACACTAAAAGAAATTAATTTTCGCCGTAAAATTAATAAAATATACGTAACCGCTGGTCCCCCACACAGTCTTCACGCGAAGCTTGATCGAACCAACCGTATAACAAAAACTAAAAAAACAAAACAATTAAAATTAAGTGAGAATATAAAAATCTGACCCTATATAAAAGGAGCATGTTTCGTAAACCCTTTACACAACACAAAAAACAAAGAAAACAGAAATATTACAGCAAAGAAAACCTCTTGCCTTCTTCCCCAAGTTTCTTTCCAAACTTCCTGCAACTCTTGAATTTTGATCGGAGTTATCAAAGATGATGACACGTGGAGCGACAAGGATGACCCGAACTGTGTTGGGTCACATGGGTCCACGTTACTTCTCCACTGCAATTTTTCGAAATGATGCCGGAACCGGAGTTATGAGTGGCGCCGCCGGTTTCATGCATGGGGTTCCGGCGAATCCGTCGGAGAAAGCAGTGGTTACATGGGTTAGACATTTTCCGGTGATGGGTTCACGCAGCGCTAGTTCTATGGCTTTGAATGATAAGCAGCACGACAAGAAAGCGGAAAATGGCAGCGCCGCCGCAACCGGCGGCGGTGATGGTGGTGATGAAAAATCAGTAGTGAGTTATTGGGGTGTTCAGCCTTCAAAGGTTACTAAAGAGGATGGTACTGAATGGAAATGGAATTGCTTTAGGGTAAGTTTAATTTAGTTTTTCACATATTTTCTGATTTTTTTTCTTGTTGAATTTTTTGTTGAGATTTTAGAGAATTTGATTTTTCTTGTTTGTCACTAATGGTGGATTTATTAATTTTGTGGGATGTAGCCATGGGAGACGTACAAGGCTGATTTATCAATAGATCTGACGAAACACCACGCGCCGACCACTTTCTTGGACAAATTCGCTTATTGGACTGTTAAGTCCCTTCGATACCCCACTGATATATTTTTTCAGGTATTTAAGTTATTCTTTTTCTTGTTATTTGTGTTTTCTGGTTCTTTGAATATGATGTTATATTTCAGAACAAATTTGTCTCACCCGATTTAGAAGAGAAAAAATATTATCAGTCACATTTCCTAGAATTTTGGAATATTGCTTAGACTTTAATAATAATAATAATAATAATTTCAGGCTGTGATACTCTATCTTTTATTTGGGTTTTATTTGGCAAACACATGTTTGGCCATAGATTTTGATTACATTTTGGCAAAATTCCAAATCCTAAATCTCATAACCAGCTCAATAGTTGGTTTTGGGCCAAAATATCACTATTAGATTTTTTAAAAATTGTCCCAAACTTTTGTATTTTATAAAAGAGCCTACCATTTATTATTTTGTAACAATGTTGTTTCGTCTTCTCGATCATCTGATAGTGTATCATATAGTTCATTATAAAAATAATAATTTTATACCAAATTTATTTATGTTTAAGACTATGATTTGCGATAATATAATGAATGTTATTGATAATGGTACTATTGGATATTTGTGATAGTTTTTAAAACTTGTGGGTATAAGTCTGTGTTTCATATTTTTACAAAATAAATTTGAGAAATATGTTTTGAAAACTGATGTTCAAACACAATTTCATCTTCAAACCAAACTTCACCCAAATCAGATTTTTCAAAACAAATTTGGGAATGTATGGCCAAACGCTGGCTTTGGATCTTGGAATAATAATTTGGCTAGCTCTTAAAAGAAAAAGCTTTTAATGCCGCTTCTGAAGAATTTAGATTGTTTTCTTATAGTTTAATAGACATAAAATTGGTACTAGTTGCTTCTGTGGTAGATTTTAATTGAAAGAAAAAACAAACGATGGGATGGCTAAAGTTTTAAGTAATTTTACTCCGTTATAGATCCAGATTCAAGAATAGCTCTTCTTTATGCTATCAACATAAAGAAATGTAGTCAACTTGAATATTAAAACTATTTATCATTGAAAATCAAGCATCGGATGGGCAAGAATGATATTCTGTATGTGGAATTAATTATTACCACAAATCCTTCTATACCTAATGAAAATTAACATGAGATCTATTGGAGATTAATTTGTGTGGGTTATAATTAATGTGGTGCAGAGGAGATATGGTTGTAGAGCAATGATGTTGGAAACAGTGGCTGCAGTGCCTGGAATGGTAGGAGGAATGTTGTTGCACTGCAAATCACTGAGGCGATTCGAACAGAGTGGGGGATGGATCAAAACACTGTTAGATGAAGCTGAAAATGAGAGGATGCACCTCATGACTTTCATGGAAGTAGCCAAGCCTAATTGGTACGAGCGTGCACTTGTCTTTGCAGTGCAAGGCGTCTTCTTCAACGCCTACTTTGTCACTTACCTTCGTTCTCCAAAGTTGGCTCATCGTATTGTTGGATACTTGGAAGAAGAGGCTATTCATTCCTACACCGAGTTCCTAAAGGAATTGGACAAGGGTAACATTGAGAACGTCCCTGCTCCTGCTATTGCCATTGATTACTGGCGTCTCCCTAAAGACTCCACTCTCCGTGATGTTGTCTTGGTTGTTAGGGCTGACGAGGCTCATCACCGTGATGTCAACCACTTTGCATCTGTAAGTGGAGCAACACAAAACAGTTATAGACTGTTTATATAGCAAACTCTAATTAAATATGGTTGATGTTTGCTTTTAAGTCCTGACTAACTAATTTCTATGGCTTTGATTGCAGGACATTCATTATCAGGGACAACAGCTGAAGGACTCTCCAGCACCAATTGGGTATCACTAAGCCACCAGAGATTGATCAAGTTAAATGTCACTATTATCTTCTTTTTTTGTACTGGTACACAGCTAGCTAATGTAGTACCTACTACTATTTTGAATGTTGATGTACATATTTTTTTCTGTGGATTTGGTTGGTTTTTTACTACTGCCTTCAT